AAAACATCACATCATTAATGGCGGGACCCACTGTCACCTAATTAGTGGGAGCACTAATTAGTGCTCCCAAGCATTTTTCGTATCCCAAACTGCAATTAAATAACTTTTCCATAGTTAATATTTAGATGTAACAAAGCTATTTTGGATTGTAAATATGGAACTTTGTGGATTGAAATTACTAGTTTTGGGATGAATGATTGGATGCTTAGTGTTCATTGGATTGGATTATAGAAGTTCATCTGCTGTTCCCCTATACCTGGGTGTTTGTTTGTTTGTTTTTGGGTATGTGTATTAGTAATATTAGACATTAATAACTGATACACAAAAAAATAACTCCTTTTTTTTATTTCTCTTTTTTCATTTCTTTCTCATCAGATTTAAAATTCAAACACAATCCAAATATGTAACTAGAAAAAATTATTCAATAAAAAGCCAAAAAAATTAATGTGTAATATAGATTTAAACTTGGTATTATGGTATTGTGTGAAGCACGGATGAAATTGATCCATTAATTTCAATTTCTAAACACTTCTTTAAAATATATATATATATATTTATATATATTTTGGGATAAAAAAGATACATTTTGTAGCCTTATGTTGTACTCTATATTGGGCCAACGTATATTTTGTAGCCAAGCCCAGTCTACCGAGCCTTTGCCTGTTCCCAGCAATTACTTATTGTTTGGGGACTCAATTTGAATCCAAAATATATTTCAGTACGAATCAATTTAAATTTATTAATTTTAATTTTTAATATATCTTAATATGAATTTATTAATAAGGACGACACATATTAAATTTCAAAATAATTTTTTTCTTCTCCTAGTACACCCTAATCAATTATTCATATTCAAATCTATCTTCTTCTCCGAGATATTAGAGTTATTTCTTCTTCTTCATTCTTCCTTCAAAACTTCAATCAACCCTACCAAAACTCACCATCATCATCAACATCATGGTTTTTTTTTTATAATTATTTTGAAACTCTAAACCCTAGAAGAAAGTTTGAACAAAATCAAATAATGGATGAGAGTAATAATCAAAATAGTTTTTTGAAGCAACTCATAAAAAATGAGGCAAATATTCATATAAGCGGGTTTTACAATTTTTGTAGAGTACCACCAAATATTTTCTATATCATTCTTTTGACAAAAATTAAAAGGCCCAGTAATTAAATTAATAATAACATATTATTAGAGTTGTTCTTATTTTACCATTTAAATAGTACATTATTTGATAACTACTTTTTCTTGTTAGTGCCTGGTACTTATATGGTTATAAGTTTGGTTTTTACTTTTCCACGAGTATTCTTGTGGGTAATTTATAATGTAAAAGTGTTTTTTTTCTGCGTTAAAAAGTTTTATAATGTTTATGTAAAAGTTTGGCTTTTTCTGTATTTATAATGCTTATGTGCTTATAAGTTTGGTATTTTTTTTATCTGTTTTTGAGAATTATTTTTTATATTGAAAAGATTTGAAGTAATTTAGTTTTTTTTAGTTTGTTTGTTATTTATTATTTTGGATTTGCCTTGAGTGTAATTTGGGAAAAATAATAGGGTGTAATTAGAGCAAAATAAAATTTTAAATAATTAAATAGGGTATACTTAAAAATTTGGAGTACTTAATGATTTTTTGTAAATAAAACCCCCACTAATTGTTAAGAGCTTTAATTGGTGATAAATTTAATTTAAGGAGGGTATAAGCTATTAAGTAGATATTTTTTGTTGATTAGAGGTCCACACTTTATGAAATAGTTTGGTGAGAAGTCTAGAAGAACATTTTATTTCTAATTTTACCCTTTGATTTTTTTTATCTGTTTGACTTTTCGTTGACTATATGTTGAAATTCCTATTTGTTTAAATTTTTTATCTATTAAATTTTTTTATCTGTTCAAATTTTTTATCTATTGAAATTTTCTACCTGTTCATTTTTTTTTTATTATCTATTCAAACAACAGATCATTAGCACCATTATCCCCCTCATCGAGTCCACCAAACCTTTTCTGTTCAAATATATATATATATATTTTTCTATATGTTCAGATCTCTTCTCTCTCTCCCTATGTATTGCAATATGCTTCTTTTTCATTATCATCAATAACAAATAATAAAAAAAATTCAAACATATGTTCAAATCTCTCTCCCTCTCTCTCTCTGTTACAATTTGCTTGTTTATCATCATCATCATCAAAAACAACAAATTATACTTGTTCATCAACACCATAATCACCAAATCTATCTATTCATCATCAAAAAAAGAAACTAATTTGTATGTCCCTCTTCCAAATACTTCTTCGACTACTTCGCCAATTTGGACATCCTTAGGTTCAAACTTAAATGCATGTTTTACTCAAGGATGGTCTAGCTTAGGATTCGTTTAGAGAGTGAGTTGGCTTTTTAATTTTTTTTGACTATTTTAACTTGGGACTAAAAGTTTGATTTGGGATAGACTTTTTGGTGAAGTGTTCACATGTTAATTTACCAAACTACCCTTGGGGTAAACGTTGGGCACTCTGGGCGATTGAGCGGTACACGCCAACCTTCCTTCATTCCTTTTTTTTGGATAATCCTTTTTTATGGTTTTTTTTTAATGATGTGGAAAACTAACATTTAGGTGTTATTTGTTTGTCATTTTTTTTGTTTATTTTTTTATATTAATTTGTTTATTTGTGTTTCCAAAAGGCTGGTTCATGTTTTTTTTTTGTTTTTTTTTAAATTACGTGAAAATGCTAATTTCGATTTTATTTTATTGTCTTTATTTTTTTGGCTTTTTTAAGTTTTTTTTTTCGTAAATGACATGGAACAAACGATAATTTTGTTTTTTTTCTTCTTCTTTTATTTATTATTATTATTATTTTTTTTTTTGGTATTTGGAAAAGGCTTTTTTATGTTATTTTATGTAAATGATTTGGAAAATGATAATTTCAGTTTTTTTTTTTTTTTTTTTGGCAGAAGGCTTTTTATGTTTCACTTTTTTTTTTTTAAATGGCGTGGCAAATGATAATTTCAATTTTTTTTGTTTTTTTTTTTCTATTTTTTATTTGGAAAAGGCTTTTCTATGTTTTTTTTTTTTAAATGACGTGGAATCCATGGTAATTTCGGTTTAACTTTTATGTCTTTTTGTTAAATGACGTTGAAAAGTATATGACTCGGTTTGATTTTTTTTTTTTAAAGAAAAAGCCAAGCATCTGAAATCATTATGTGTCATCGATTTTAACCGTCAAATGATAATCAAGGTCAATTTTTTATCCTACAAATTTTCGTACACAATAACTTCAAAAATGACGTGTTCAATAATTTGGAAGGAGTTATTTCCTGTGTAAACACATACTCCATGATAATATATTTACATACAGCCTTTTTCCGCGTGGGTTACCAATGTTACAAACACACGAATATTAGGTGTACTATATATTTCCTAACATTCCGTTATTATGTAGGTGCACTAACTTGTCCCGTATGCGAAGTCGCACCAATGCCATATACGAGTCCTCATCCCCAACCAATAAACCATCCTCGTCATGTTCAACCTTTGGTATGGCATTTACTATGGCCATAGCCTCTTCCTCGTTCACAATAGGGTTAACAGTTGTTGGATTGCCTGTATTTCAACGTATATAATTATGTAACACCATTAATGCACCTACTAACTGAACTTGCACATTTGCAAAATCATATCGAGGCATGTCTCTAATAAACCCTCATCGATTTTTTCAGGTGCCAAAAGTGCGTTCCACCACACTGCGTAACGACGAGTGCACTTTGTTAAATAATTCTCTGGGATTGTTTGCTATCCTACGCTCGACAGTAGCGCGAAATTGTTGTTAGTGGTAACGACTGCCTTTGAAAGGTGCTAGGTAACCTATCCGGTTCGGATAGCCAACATCGGGAAGATAATATTTGCCTGCAAATAGTACCAGAATGTAAAACAAACCACTCAATTGTGTTTAATTGTTAAGTAACGATGTTTTCCCAAATATTATGGACCCAAATATTTTCAATGCATTGTGTTACCTTCTTCAGAATGTGGAAATAGGACATTGTCATTTGTTAGTATCTCATTGAAGACGTGACTATCGTGCATTCTTCCTTCCTATCCAAGCAAAACGAAGATGAAACACATGTCAAAATCGCACGTGGCTATGATATTTTGTGTGTGACAGTATTTCCTACTGAAATATGTTGCGACATCTGGCCCTGTAACCCGTGCACTAACATGTGTTCCATCCATGGCCCCGATATAGTCTTGCCAACAACCCAATTGTATTGTTACTCCTAGGGGTACATGTAATGGTTATTTTTATTACATCACATCCAATAAAATGTAATAAAAAGAAGGCAAATATACATAACTGAAGTGAGGTTTTAAAATAATACCTTGAACGGTAGGTATTTCCGTTTAGACCACACGTATGGATGTATATGATGCTGACTATATGTGGGCCTGCAATGTACAATAGTGAACTCCTTCATCGCCGTTTATACATTATGCACGTACCGGGACATAGTCTCCCCCGAATGTTGGAATCGTTCTTGGATTACCTGATTTTGAAACTCTCTCAATACGTGGATAAACATTGCAACGCTTTCTTCAACAGCTAAGCCATGTGGACGTTGATCTACTTGTAACCCAAAATCAGTAACTAATGTGTGACACAAAGCCGCAAAAACTTCTTTCGGCATGCACACATTTTCCTCAAAACGACCCACATGGTCCGTATGTAGTTCGGTTATCCATGCATGCTCGGTCAAAATTGAAATGCGACATGGCGTTTTAGACATGTGTTTTTCGTACCACTCTAGCACATACCGGCATGCTTGTTAAAATGTCCAGTTGTTTTGTTGTTGCAGCTGTATGGCCATTTGGTTAAGTATTTTCGTTAAATCCTGATTGTTACTTCCATCCCCGGGATTCATCACGTTGATTGAAGCAAAAGCTACAACAGAGGGATGGTTTCAATCAGTTTACACGTGATGCAATGGCTTAAGGGTAAAAACATGTGCCAATTACAGGTTGCAACATGTTTGGAAATATTTATGATGCGTAACTATCCTGGTGAGCATGGCTAATAGTAAGGTACAATTGCATGTGAAATGATATCAAATAAACAAACAGTAAACCTGGTGATAATTGGTAATACACAAACCAATAAAACATCAAGTGCATTACTGACACAACCAATAGCAACTGGACAATAACATCACACTAAACAAAGACATGAATAAACAAGCAAGACACGGCACCCCGCCGTTGCACATCTAATTACCATTAAAGAAAACAAACACAACCATCCTATTCCATAAGAAAAAAACACACAACCATCCTATGTAATCGTACCCAAAGATACGCAAACATGCAAATATTTCTTGAAAAAATCCAACAAAATGTAAAAACAAAGTAAAAAAGGAAAAAGCACGCATAACCATCCTGTTTATTACAAGTCCAACATTAATGTAAGTAAATGTTTTTTAAGTAAGCGAAGGGAAAGCATCTTCAGCATGACACCGCTATCAAACTTGCCGAGCCCTAAATAGGTTCGCAAACGGCGGCACCGCACTCAACTGCAGCTGCTTCTGTGTGAGCCATCCAACAATGTGGTCATCATTAGGCTGGTACATCATCACCTCCCGGTAATTTGCATTATCTATCAATGTCGATGCATAATGGAATAGTGGGGTATCAAGAAGGGAATGAATGCTCCTAAGCCTTTGCATGTACTCTAAAACTGTGTATAGTGATTTGTTGCCTGTTAGGTGCCTCACCGTAACTTGCTGGTTCTGGGTACGAACCACATTTCTAAGATTGTTCATGCTTTCCGCTATAACTAACGCTCCACTAGTTGCCTTCTGCGAATTTCCACAAATTATTGACGGAGTTCGTTTCCTTTTGAGTTCAGGTTGAACTGGTTCGAGTGAAGAATCTGAATCCACGTCCTCTGTTTGTGCAAGTATTTGATTAACAAATGGCTGGGCATTGATACTGTCCACATAATCGGATGATACATTGGCAGCTTCAACAACCTTCTCTCCCGGGGTCCAATGGTGCTTACCCGTAGCTGATGCCCCTATAAAGATCGTCTCCATCAGCTCGCGATGTTCCAAAGTTTTTTTCCTGAACCTTGCACAAGCCTTGTTTGTCTGCAAAATTGGACATTGATAAAAAAAGAATACATTACAAGAAATAGGTGAATTTCGTAGTAACAACAAAAACGAAAAATTTAAATGACGAAGGGCAAATATGAAACAAAAAAACATACGGAAATTACATTGTACTTACCGATTCCATCTTGTCCCACCACTCATCAAACGCCTGAAACATACCAGTGTTGATGTCAAAGCCAATCCCTGATACGCCTCTGCTGGAATCCATCAAGCATTCCAATCTTTTTTCTGACGCATGTATTTATTTTTCAATTGTTTCAAGCCATGTTTCCTTCCAGTTTTTTTGTCAAATTTCCTTGCCAATGACTTGTACCCAGCCTGGCTTAGGACTAGGAATGGTCAATTTCCTTTTGTAATCTCATCGGCTATCAACTGTAGGAAAATTCAGATTGACTCACTGTTCCAGTAGGCCTTGTGGTTTAACTACATGTGTGTCTCTGCTGGAATCCATCAACTTTCTCCAAGCATTCCAATCTTTTTTCTGACTCATGTATTTATTTTTCAATTGTTTCAGGCCATGTTTCCTTCCAATTTTTTTCTCAAATTTCCTTGCCAACGACTTGTACCCAGCCTAGCTTAGGACTAGGAATGGTCGATTTCCTTTTGTAATCTCATCGGCTATCAACTGTAGGAAAATTTAGATTGACTCACTGTTCTAGGAGGCCTTGTGGTTTAACTGCATGTGTGTCTCTTCCACACTGCTTGACTTCTCTGGAACAATGCCTTTGTTTTTCGATTGAGTACGAGGAGAAGTTCGTGTGGAAGCCATTTGTACTAACCACGCAGGTAAGTGTAGCTCGACTTTTTCGCGCCCCCTCTTTCGGAAGTTTGAAATAAGCCCTATAGTTTGAACTTCCGCGATTCTGAATCTAATCTCATAAGTGCAGTGTGAAATTGATAAACACCAAAGAGTCCAAATCTGGCAAATCTTTTTGAAAAATCGATTTTGAATAAAAACCGCCAAAAAATGGATTGCTTTGCCAGATACAGAGTCGCCACCTAAATATTTTTTTATTTTGGAAAAATTTAGGAAACCCATGGCTCGTGCCAAAGGCCGCGTGTCCATCATCACCAAGATTGTCTCTGCTCGGAAACTTAGGTACAAGAGGGGAAGGTCATGAATTTAGCACCCCTGCTCGCCTGATTAAAGATCAACCTTTACTGATCATGATATGAATCTTATGTACATTATATGCTCTTGTTCCGATTATTAGGCTAGCATTACTATGTGATGTGCACACATACAAGTATAGACCAACTTTGCAAGAATTGGAACATTTGATTCATGTTTATTTTGAAAATTGTTTCAAGATGTGTACCACTCGAAAAAGTGATCGCATATGAACATGGCTCAAATTATTCCAATTCAAGAAAAAAGTCTTTATCCACAGGCATTCAAGTAGTTTAACACCTAAACAATTAGCCTCATGGCAAGCATGTTAAATATGACAACAACCACACGCATGCTATATGCTAAAACAAATAAAAGCTTATCTAGTACTCCAAGCCAAAAAAGAGAAATGAGTTAGAAAAATGCATGATTCCTAACTATGCAATATGACTAATGCAACACATGTGATATGCAATTTAAATAGGTTCGGCTACTAATATGGCATATGAATTGATTAAATAGCATGCGGTCTAAGCACGTATTCAAAGAGGTATTTAAACTAATCAATGTAGTTAGAATGATGAATCGAGCCTCGACACATGCAATACAAGGGGATGCAAATCATGAAGTATACTAAACAAAATGTGATGTCCCTAAACTAACCATTATAAGCTAGTAAATAAAGGGAGAAAGAAGTGGGGTTGGAAGACACATACATTATTACAAATTTGCGCAATCATGAAAGAGAGTCCAAATGAACTAAGCTAATTAACTAACTAATTATAGCTAGACTAATTATTACAAAACAAATGAAATTAGCTAAACTAGTCTAGTTATTACAAACCAAATCAATTAACAAACTATTCTAGTTAACGAACTAATTGCAAAACGAAATTGAATAACTAATTAACTAACTAATTAGATAATTACAACACAAATGTAATTAAAAGAATTAAGTAAGCTAAACAATTTAAATATTAAGCTAACTACTCTGCCTCGAGAAGCATGGGATGTTCATGCGCATGGTCGGTTCCCACCCGAAAAACCATTGTTTTGCTTCCGGAGAGCCTCTGTTGCACAGAGAACACACACACTGTTGCCCACTTCCAAAATAACTCTGCTTTGCTTGAAGAACACACTACTGAATTTTGCACCAATGGCCGGTCAGCTAGTGATGAAGGTTGCTGGCCACTAGTGATGGCCAGCCAGCCATCAAAGGTGGTTTACTGGCCACCTGCTAGCCATGGAAAGTGGCCAGCCAGCCATTGCTGCCCAGTTCTCCTTGTTGCAATAGAGGACAAACAGAGCATATACATGGTATTTTCAAGGGTTTGTTTGCACAGCTCACCCCTCATTTACATGAACATATCAAAGGAGTAGCAAGTTCGGTTCACAAACCATCAATGGATGCAATTTCATTGCACGATGGCTTATGAACCTAAATGTGCAATTTTAATATATGCAGCAAAATAGGACTCTAACCACCTCCCTATCATGAAAGATCAACGGAAGTAGTGACCTTGGAGACTTGGATCATTTTATCACTAATGAGTTTGAAATGGCCCAAGCTTCCATATGTTCAATTAACGTCCAATTGAACACAACCAAATTATTATCTTGCATCATTTTTAGTCCTAAGTTTTAATCCATTTTAAATTACCAACCATTCTTTAATCAATTGAGTCCAATGGTGAGTTTAAGTCCTCTAATGGAAAGAAGGCTCAAACCAAGAGTTGTCTTAGGCATGAAAGAGACATCATACCGTTGGTAATGAACACCCTGAGGGATTAAACCATTAAGCATGACATCTTAATCTCATGCTTTAAACAAATAAGTTGTTTGAACCACTTTCAAAGCAAAACAAAAAGCTAAGAAATGAGGGAGGTTGCAGAGATTATTAGTGACGAAAATGAGTGAGATAAGCATAAATAAATGCTATCAACTCAAAGAAGATGGCGTCTAAGGCCTAGAACACCAAACTCATGAGGACAATTACACTACAAGCATGCAAAATAAAGCTCAAATATAACTAATAGCCCAAAACAGTGCTAAAACAATATCAAATAAGTCCTAAAACATGCTGGAATTGTGCTAAAAATAGCTAGATTAATATGCTAAAACATGGCACAAACTAGGCTAGTAAGCAAGACACAATGAGGGCAGGCTAACCCCTCCAAATTAGGACTTCAAAACATGATTTTGGCTACTGAAAAAGCTCTGAAAATAAGTAGTTAAAAGCTCAAAAAAAGATAGTAAGAGGGTGGGAAACACAAGGGCAAAGGCCTCCAAAACAAGGTACAAAGAAGGATGAACCACCCCTCAACCTTTAATGGCCTTAGGACCCAAGTTTCAGCCCAAAAATATAGAAGTTTTATAGCTCAAAAACAATTGGAAAACAACAAGAATAATAGTAGAGAAAGTAAGCAAATAGGCAAAGCCTTATACCTCTTGAAGAGAAGAAGCAATTCAAGTAACAAAACCAAGACAACACACCCTTCAAGAGCTCAAACTAAGCTCAAAAGTGCCTCAGCTCAAAGATGAGAAGGTTTGGTTAAGGGTGTATAGGCAAAGGTTAAGGATTTGTAGGCAAAAGTGTAGGAATTTGCTAGAGACAGAGAGGAAAAATTTTGATCTCAAAATTTTCCAACCTTCAAACATGAGAGAGGGGTCTCCTATATATAGAAAACATGAATTCCCTACAAGGATATCCAGCTCTACATATGGGTGCAGATGCATGCATCTGTGTAAACAGCTGGCACAACTGGCATAAAATATCTGCAAAAGAAACTGGTAGCTGGCCGGCCATCACTGGTGGCTAGCAAGCCACATTAGTGGCCGGTAGCCCAAAAGTGATGGCTACCCAATAGGGTGGCCGGCAGGCCACCAAAAGCTGCAGGCTTAAATGACCAAGGCTTGATCCAAGAATGAGGCAATAAGGATGCAGGGTTTGAAAAGGCTCAAAGCTGTGGCATTCTGCTAACGACTTCGAGCACTTGGCAAGCAAATAAAATCATCATTGGGTGTGCATGCAATGGTCTCCAAGTCGTAAGGGCTGTCAAAAATGGGGTGTCTACAGTTGCCCCTCTTTGACAAAACTCAAAGTCATGAAATGACGTGAGTGAATGTCAAATCCCTAAGACGACCCATTTTCACAAGGCCGTAAGACTTGGGCAAACAATCAAGACAGAAACAAAAGGTTATGCCCGCAGGCTGCCTACGTATCCTTTTGCAAGGAATCAAACCAGCGTAGTTCTGGGGCAAAATACAAATGATATGCACAATACAACTTTAAAAGTTGGACTCACACGCTACGCAAAGCTGGCTATTTTGAAAGCTCATGATCATGCGAGATGATGCGATAAGCAATAACAAATGCAATAAGCAATAATGAGATAACAACAAATGAATGAGCAACTTCAAGTTTAAACCAACACAAGTTCCATGTAAAAGAATCTAAAACATACTTTAATCACTCTAAAACACGAGACGAGGAAATAAACACTGATCAGGGTTGCGCCTCGCTCGTCTTGAGAAACTGAGAACAAAAACCGCTCGGGGGCACATTTCACATGTCCTGAGAAACTAAAGAACGAAAACCGATCAGGATCACGTTTCATGCGTCCCGAGATAAAACACGCCCAAAGCCGCGCGTCGCGCGTCACGCATCTTGAGATACAAGAAAACCGCTCGGGCTCACACTTTGCACGCCTCGAGATGCAACTCGTCCAAGGCCGCGTTTCACATATCCTAAGATAAAACCGCTTAAGCTCGCCCTTCACGCGTCCCGAGATAAAAGAGATAAGTATGCGATAAATTCATGAAGTGAATGAGTGCGATAGATGCATAAAGTGAACAAGTGCGATAGATGCACAAAGTGACCAAGTACGCTAGATGCACAAAGTGAACAAGTCCGATAGATGCACAAAGTGAACAAGTGCGATAGATACACAAAGTGAACAAGTGCGATAGATGCACAAAGTGACCAAGTACGCTAGATGCACAAAGTGAACAAGTCCGATAGATGCACAAAGTGAACAAGTGCGATAGATACACAAAGTGAACAAGTGCGATAGATGCACAAAGTTAACAAGTGGATA